CCGTTCATTTATGGTTTCTGTGTATCTGTTTGTCCTATCGCTTGTATTCCTGTATGTTTTCTATTTTTACTGCACGCACCTCTGTGGAATTTTGTGTTACATTTTTGTCACTTTTCTTGTGTTTAGCGTAGACTTAGTGATGTTGTCGAAAGGTGTTGCTCTTGTTTTCTTCTTGGTTTCGTTCGTCTTGGACCTCGAGATATGATATAGTGCTGGAGTGAGAGAGGAAAGGTGAATATTCGGAGAATTAAAAACTCCGAAATTCGAAAATTCAAACATTCAAAGATTCAACGATTCAAAAATTTAAAGATTCAAAGGTTCAAAGGTTCAAAGGTTCAAATATTCAAGTATTCAAAAATTTAAAGATTCAAAGGTTCAAAAGTTCAAAAGTTCGAATATTCAAATATTCAAATGTTCAAACAAGTTTCAATAACATTCTCATGTTATTCGAAACTTCCAGAAATCCCCGTCACTTGAGCAAGGATTCCACAAAACGAGGAAACGAACGCCCGTGAGATGCAGGTTCAGTCATCATCGAGCTTCCTTTCCAATCTTCTTTTCCCCTGGCACCGAGCATTACGGTTAAGCCCGTCGTATTTATGGTTTGCCGAGGCGTTAATTCTGTTTGATGCGCGAGGAGAAGATCGCGGCTCGATTCAGGGTTGAGTTTAAACTATTCCAAGCCTAAACGGATTCAGGGAGGTTCTACGGCTTCGTTTCCAGTAATATTGACCGCCGCTTCATAAACGATATACACAATGAATGACTGTTAACATTTTTTCTAGCCTGCAATTCAATTCGAAACGTGATGTATGTTACATCCTACCCCATTAAACACCCTGTACATTCATAATAACTATTATTAGTATTGTTATTATTATTATTACTACTATTTTTCCATTATGACATGATACCGTGCATGCGTCCACCTGAAAACGTGTTCATCGTCACCCCTATCTAAAAACAACATTATGCATACCGAAATGCTCCGTTACCATTATGACTGCGTCTACTTGTAAACCACTTTGTGAACATCTTACAGATTTGACGAAGTGTAAATATAGTCGGCAATCCGACGTCCCGATTTTTAGACACTCCAACCTCCAATGTGAATCATTAAGGTCCAAATGTTTCCTCCTCTCAACTACCGAATCCTCTTTTTCCCGAGTTTTCGAGAAGATCAAAATTATCCTAACCACACAACCATCAATATCAAATTAAAACTTCTACCACGTTTTTCCAACTCGAACACACCATCGTATGACTCGATAAAACAAAACCTAGGCAACTTTGGTTTTCCTCTGGACGCGGACGAGAACCCACTCTCTTCTTCGGGAGTACTCCTGCGTGTTGTGGCAACATAACAATGATTATACTCGCCATGGTCTCCATGGGAGCCATTCCCAAACCTTCAGACTCCTGATTTTCGTCAAAAAACCGATTACCTAGAAAACATACAATTATTAGCAGATATCACGAATATCTCTATAAATTAGTTAGATTTTCTCTTTACAAGTTAAGTTTCTGTTCGCTGTGTTTTCTATAAATCCATTTGACCAAAATAATTTAATTTTGATCTAATTGACGAGCATGGAAGTGGAACTGCTAATCAAGAAGCTCCAAGAGAGAGAAAAGGAAAATATAGATAAATTGAAATACGAATTAAAGAAGGGAAGAAACAGAAAAAGTAAAAAATTCACCTTTAAAATATATCAATATTATCCATAATTATTATTAAGTGTTATATCATCAATGTACTACACTCGAGACCGCTGTCACGGTCGATTCCCTCTCGCGAGAAAGCAAAAACGAAACTCATCCCTAACACGAATTTTCAATTTCTGTTCCAGACTCGCCAGGATGATGGGTAGCGTGCCCAGCGGATGGATGAGGAAGATCCTCCTCTTCTTGGTCCTGATGACTGGGGTCCTGCTGATCGCGATGTACGCACACGCGCCACCCCTTGTCTCTCTGCAGCCCTTCTCGTCTCGCCGGTAAGTTTCACGCCGAACCACCCGCAATGTGCAACTCTCCTCCCATGATCTCACGATCGTTCGTTAAACACCCTTTCATCGTTAACTGCCTTTCGCATCAGTCATGTCCATTTCAAAAGAGGAAAAAAAAGCATAGAGAATTGAAGCAGGTAAAAGGAAAGAAAAATCGATTCGATCGATCGAAAAGAAAAGTTGCGTATATACCTGGAAAGATTCCGATGTCACTTGTCCCGCGCCTCTGATCCCCTTTCTCTCCGAGCGATCGCATCTCGCAACCCGACCCAGCCACGTTAACTTTGGTTACCGCATCTCTCTGTGTTTCTTTTTTTTATTTTTTCGTTAATTACCTCGCACTCCCGGCGACTCGGCGCGCATCAAAGACTGAAGGAGTTGCAACGAGGCTTGGTTACATTCCTGGTCGGTAATGAAAGCACGAAGAGACCCGAAGAACGGCTCTACGAGTATCTGGAAGAGCCTAGGTAACATTCACCCCTCTGACGGAGGGGTGAACCAGTACTTGCTAAAGCTTCCTTTGTCCCTTGGAAAAACTACGCGGCTCCCACCCCGATTTTCTAATCTCTCTAGTTCTATTTCTGTCTCCTAGTCTCTTTACCACCCGCCCTTATCGAAACGAAAATCTCGTTCGATTTTCGACTCGGCCCACTTTCCTGCATGCACCATGTTGGAACACCCCTACGCACTTTCTTGGATTATCTGGACTCACTCACTGTCGTCTATAATTCTATCAATAACCAGAATTACTGTAGTTCCGCTGTTCACTTATTACCAGCATCTACCGTTGTTCCTTTTTCTTTCTATATTCACGCGAATGGCTCGCCTTTTAGTGTGAATAAGTTAAATTACATTAAATTAATCACTCTCGTCGACTCTTGGGGACATCGGGAAGGATGATCTAAGGTGGGACAAGATCTTACAATCATTTCTAACTGTTTCTTAATCATTTCCACGCTTAACCCCTTGCCTTAGGATATACTCTTCAGTTGAGATTATTCCATCGTTGATTCTCTATAAACAGTTCAAAGCGTTTCGTGTTCTTTGTGACGTCGAGTCGCAAGATTCTAATAACCAATCTTTCGTTCTCTCCTGAGGACGAATGAGGATGTTCTTTGTTAAATAGAATTCTTAATATCAATCTTTTTCAGCGTAAATCTACCATAATTTTCCCAGATAACTTATATGTTAATTATACTTGCATGATAATCATCAATGACAGATCTTCGATAGATACGTTTGTTTTATTGAAATTAGAGCCTTCTCATGCTTCAATTCCAAAGCATCGATCTCTCCCTGTTGTCAAACTATCTGAAACATATCCTAACTATAAGAACCAAATTCATGTACAAAAGTAATGATAATACATTATTATTCCATTATTATGATTATGATGATGATGATGATGATGATGATGATGATGATGATTATTATTATTATTATTATTATTATTATTATTATTATTATTATTTTATAACAATAATATAATCCTAAGTCAAGGGGTCAAATTATCCATCCAAAACAAGGGTTGATCGCGGTATAGGGGATGAAATATTCGTGCCACGATCTCGCGGAACGTTCATACGCAGGATTTCATGTTCCCCATTCACGTAAACGTTTTCACTGAAAAGCGTCGTTGTTCTAACTCGCTTGATCCTCTTAACTGGAACATCCTCGAAGAAAAATACGCGTCCGCGCGCTGCCGAACGTAAACTGCTTGTTAATGCTTGTAAATTAAGCGCCAGTCGAGGATAGCAGTCCCATGAATATTTATCGCCGGCGATTTTATCTGTGCAACAGCGGCATTATGTATACACACGTATGCACCTAGACACGTACACACCGACACGAACGTGTATAGTTATGTACATATACACACACACCACTGGTTGTTTTTCACGAGCGACTGGTTACCAAGCCCGACGCTCCTCTATTTTCTCTTCCCGAGTTCTATTTCCCGTCTTCCGAGAACCGTTGCGATCGCGCCTCGAGGTGCACCAAATCTCTACGCCGGGGGCGTCCATCGGCTCGTTTCCTCGAAATTTCGATGCTCGTCGAGAAACGACGAGATATCGGAATCCTGGATGCACGGTTTAACCCCTTCGTTCCCGGCGGCGTCGCCTTGAAGCCACGTATTTCGATATCAGTAAAATAGCGGATTAATCGCGAGCTCGTCAATGTAAAATCGATACGGTGATCGTCCTTTCTTGTTTTCACAATTAGAATAACATTTTTTTATAGAAATACAATTATTTTTGTTGAAAATCATACGTTAGTTAACTCTTTGACGTGTTATTTACTTTCACTACTAACGTGTAACATCTTGCCATCGATAATTTAGAAGAAATGCAAGAAAATATTCTATTCCAGTGTCAGTGCTGATTTGCTTCGAAGATAATAAATTGGTAATAGATAAATAGTTTTTTACTGTACTCCGCGTGCAATGAACATTGATTTTTATTCAATCTAGAAATCGTCATCGTGAGAGCCACTCATCATTGTATGGCAACGGGTTAATGAGGCACCTTGAAGTCATATTTTATTATTAATCGACTGGAACTGCTAACAGCACCGTGAAACGTGTTCCGACTTACTTCAGTCCATCTAAATTTGTTTGCACAGACGCGAATTTGCATAAACATCCGTAGCTTAACGACCGCAATCGTTACGGCCATCTCTCGATGGCCGGAGATTAGAAATCTCGTCGAGTTTCCCGGGAGATCTCGAGCGTGCTCCTTCGAGAGGAAGATTCTCTGTTACGTTTCGAAAAAGTTCCGCGCGGCGCGCTTCTCTTCTTTTGTTTTTCAATTTCGTCAAGCTATGACAACGGATAACATCGTAGTTCCTACGTTCTCTCTTTCCTCATAATTCAGCCGGTGTATCACGTCCTTCCCAGTTGGCGCTTTCTTTTCCATGCGCCACTGAGTTACGCTCGTCTCATTACTCCTCTCCCTTCAGTGTATGTATATGCGTATGCAGTTGAACCGCGATAAATCGAATCGTAAGTTTCGTTTCATTGTTTCATAGCAAAAGACATTTAACAAACGAGAATTCGTCTTGCAGTGGTTTCGCGAGGATTCTGACTCGCGTGTAAATGTCAGTTCGAGTTGTAAAAGTTGACATCCTAAATTTGAGTTGTAGAAGTTGACTTTTTTCTGAATTTAAGTTTTAAAAGTTGGTCTCCTATATTTTAGTTGTAGAAATTAACTTGTTCATGAATTTCAGTTTTAAAAGTTAGTCTCCTAAATTTGAGTTGTAGAGATTAACCTTTTTCTCAACATAAGTTTCAAAAGTTGGTCTCCTAAATTTGAGTTGCAGAGGTTGACCTTCTAAATTTGTGTGGTAGAAGTAAAACGCATGATAAATACGAAGTAAATAATTTGAGTTGCAGAAGTTCTTGTGTTCCGAGTTGTCTAGGTTTTCACAGCGAAGTGAACAGGAATATAAATTCTACGAGTTATAGAGATTTCCGAGTTATCGAGGTTCCACTGTGTATACATACCTTTTGTTAACAAATGTATGCTTGCGTATGCCACAACCTGTACATACTCTAACTCTCCCCACGTGTCTCACTAACTCTTCATCGTGTAAACTGTCCTGTACACTAATTGATACAAAAATACCATTTGGAAAGAAGTTGAAAGGCACTTGAACGTCACCGAGCTGCTAATCAAAATTCCGCTGTTAGTCGTGAACCACATAACAAACGTCATGCACACTTCCGTTATTTAGAATTGAAAAGACAATGCTGCCTTTCGAAACAGTTACGTACCGAAGCATGTAAATCATACAAACACTGCTATGTTGCACCATAGATACCGCAATCGTAAATCTATTCAACTAATCTCTAAACAGCAATCTCTAAAAAGTTTCGACGCTCACGAACAATCATTCGAGATGGAACGATTAATTTGAATTTAACATTAACCCCGCTGCACTCTCCGGCTCAATTCCATTCAATTTTACCTCTTTTTATCACCGTTTCGTTTGTTCAATCTTTTTCGACTCAACCGTATCCTCGTTTTATCAAAAATAATTTAATCTTGAAAATATAAATAACTTATTATATACAATAATCTTTAACACGTTCGTGACCAGTGTTTGTTTTAGCAGTAATCCCCATAGTCGCAATATCTTAATAAATACAACTAACGAATCATAAAATGAAAATAAAGTTGAAGAAAATGTGCATTTCTGCAGGTTACACGGTGCGCTACGGTTTTAAAGTGAAACGCGCGTGAAAGTAATGTAACACGTTGTCTACCACGGTGGTCACCGATGACCGGAGCATTTAAATTATTCGAAAACAATTATAATTCGTAAGATAACTGACGTCGACTAAAAATGTTTAACAACGCTAATAACTGGATCATAGTGTAACCTAATAATTGTATATCAAATAATCGATAATTATTCCTTTTTATTTTTGCTACAAAAGAGTAAGTAACACATGAAACGCTAAAGTTTCTCGTGGCAGTCAACGTGTTAATTTTCTTTACGCAACGTACAATTGAACGCCACATATGTGACCCTGGTCGCAAAGGTGTGAAACTTGATGCATCGAGGAGCGCAGGCAGGGTTAATGAGGTTAGTTCATTCGGTAATCAGCCAGCAGCGAATCGTATCGGCAATCAGATCGAATCATCCAATAACCACCTGTTAGGGGACGACGCGTTAGCCACCGTAATGTCTTCAAGTGCCTAAGCAGCTTCTGAATCGTTCGCTCGGGAGCACACGTTTCATCCGTGTAACACCCCCGAGAAAATGATGATTAACAGCATGAGAGACATTTTATCCGTGGATCAAATCTCGAGACGTTTCTGTTCTGCTGGGGGTGGGCCCAGGACGTTTCAGAGCCCTTGGTCTTGGGCGTGCGTGGCCGGCCGGTGCGAGAGGAGAGCGGTTAGATCGTCCCGCACCTCTCTGGCGAGCTGCATCGCGCTCTGCGGCGGGAACACTAGGCTACTTTGGCCCAGGCCCACCGGGAACGTGATCCTCGGCGAGGAAAGTGTGGTGATACACTACCAGCAGATCGAGTTCGTCACCGTGAATACCAGCGACCAGGAGACCAAGAACCTGCTGGAGCACGCGAAGGACGTCTTCATCGGTGAGAACATTTCGGAGATCGGATTAGTACGAGGTCGATTCGAAAAGTTCCAAGGTCTAACTCGAAGAGAAAATGACGATACTTTGAAATATTACTGAACATACCGAAGCAATAGAATATTGTTAGATATAACATTCAAGAGACCCATTAGAAAGTCGAAGTAACTTCGAAATTACGAGATAATACATCGTCATCGTTAGGCCAACTTTTCGAATCAACGAGCATAGCGACCTACCTAGAAAACCTATAGCTCCTTCACAAAGAACAGAATCCGCAAAGCATTTAGTAGATTTATAGGGAAGTAGTTCGAAGCAGCTCCACAGCTCCCATCCAAAACCAACGAATCCCGAAAAATTCACTGAACCTCTTGCAGGGAACGTGAGGAGCCTAGTGAAGGTAGCAAACGCGAAGAGCCGACCCGGCGTGGACAGTTTCGTGATCTACCTGAGCGCGGGCAACGGTCGAGCGTCCGGGCCGAGTTTAGATGCCGACGAGTCTTACACCCTAGAAGTGATGTCGAAGGGCAAGGTGCTAGAGGCACGGATCACCGGTAAAAGTTACTTCGGCGTGAGACACGGCATGGAGACTCTGGGCCAGATGATCTGGTGGGACGAACTGGCGGGCAGAGAGGGCGCGTTGAGGGTGTTGTCTCGCGCGTCCATCGAAGACAAGCCAGTGTTCCCCTATCGCGGGCTGTTAGTCGATACCGGAAGACAGTTCTTCCCCATCGAGAGGCTGAAGAAGGTGATCGACGGAATGGCTGCCTCGAAGCTGAACACGTTCCACTGGCACCTGACCGACTCTCAGAGCTTCCCGTTCGACTCGGCCCAGTTCCCGGAGATGGCCAGGTGGGGCGCGTACAGCGGCGATCAGATCTACACACCGGACGACGTCAAGGATCTCGCCGACTACGCGAGGATCCGCGGCGTGCGGGTCCTCGTCGAGATCGATTCGCCCGCCCACGCTGGCGCCGGATGGCAGTGGGGTGAGTCGATCGTACTTCTGTTTGACCCGGTTCGGGTTTGTGATTCGCTCACGTGTTAACGCTAGATTTACTGATATTAAATATTATAAACATTATATAGTAAAAGTATAAATTAATTTTGATTCAGACAACCATGCAAATACGCAATCCTGAATTTCTTATCGAAGCTTTGATTTAATTTTATTTTACGGATTAACGCTAGATTTACTGACATTCTACAGTTTGTTCTATTGTTCTTAGGAAAATTGTTATCCGTTCATTTAAATTTTAGAAATTAGAGCTTTAAGAGTAGACAATTAGGATAATTGCACAACTGTGTTAATAAAATCGACTCAAACGTTTACCTAATAATGCTTATAAAATTCCATGAGTCAAATTGACTTGTTCCGTAAATCTAGTGTTAAGAGTGATCTGGGAATGATTCTTAGAAGCCAATGTTAAGTATAGGAAAGAAAAATTGAGAAAATTAATATTTTGGCTTTTGAAATGATTATAGAACATATTGAGAAGCTATAAGAAGAAGGGCTTTCTAGGAAAAACGAAGAAACGAGTAAATTCTTTGATAACTAAAAAGAATATTATTTATTCTATTAGAATTTAGGAAAATCAGAGAACATAAAAGAATCGACTGAATTGCATTCGCTTCTCGGCGACTCAATTGGGAATGTTTAAGAATTGATGGAATAAGAGGGAATGTCTTGATTAGAGTTGTGGGATAGGAAAAATTAGTTAATAATGAAAATGGTTTAGCGAGGTGTTTATTAGTGTCGTTGTTGGTGTAAGGAAGCAGAAATTGTTGTCGTTCAACATTGTAGCAATACAGTTGTGAAATATTCATGGAATATTGACAAGACGAAAGACACTGTTGAAGGCTATAGCTGAGTAGGGAATCGAAGATCAAAGAAAAATTGTGAAATGAACTTTTATATTTACATAAAGGTTCACCATAAAAAGTACTGAGTTATTAAAGGCAGAATGTAAAGTTACTTGAAAACCTTGATACAAAAGAAAAATTCGTACAACTTTCTCAAAACATATGGGAACTGTTGCGAGAAATTTTAAGAGTAAAACGCGTAGTCGAAAAATGTATAACTTCCGGGATAGCTCAGCACTTTTCGAGTGCTCCAAGGATAAAAAAAATTTTGCAGGACATTGTTCCTCGCGTATTCAGCTATCTCAAAAAGCAAAAATTGTTTGGTTTAGGTAAAATGTTTAAAATGGACTTTTGGCCGGCCTGATCAAACGAATATCCCACTGTGCGATGGCGCAAAATCGATGAGCAATAACAGTACAGTTATATCAGTACGATGTGATATTCTTCTTTTAAACGTGACGGGGCGATAGGTACGATTCGAGGAAAACGAAAACGTAATGTTACGTCAGCAGCATTATTGAAACAATTGACTATGCGTCAGTACGAATGAAAATTGTTAACGCGCGGCTCCGTCGTGGCTGCGTCGGATATTCTTCAGAATTTTTGTGCGCTATTAACACTAGATTTACGGACGTTTATTCTACATTTTATTCTATTGTTTCCAGAAAACTACGTGTTCATCTGTATAAATCGCGAAAATCGTAGCTTCAGAATTAGTGTATTGCAATGCATATTCGCATAATAGCGCGAACCAACACTCAACTTAAACTGTTACTAATTAATGTTTAAAAAATTCAATATCCATCGAACTGACGAGTTCTGCAAGTCTAGTGTTAAATACGGAACAGTACGAGAACTTATAGCTCGATCTCCCCGTACTTTCATTGTCCGTTGAAAGTAGGTAGATAATTGTAATTTGATACAAGATAGTTCTTCTCGATGAGTTATCGAACAGTTTATCGTTAATTTAATTTAATTCGACAGTTTTGACCCACTTATTCAGTCGTACTCTCAGCTTTTCCTCCAAAATCACAATTGTTTGAGAACAACTAAAGGTAACTTTAGTTTTTAATCGCACCAAGAAACCGTTATTCGTTAATAACCAGTTAAAAAGTTTGAAGGCCGTTAGACAATGGAATACAATCACGAGAAACAGAAGGCGTTACGTAACTGGTTAAATAAAACAATAATACCGTAGCAAATCGTATCATGCGTCGACGAAATCAACGTTACTTTCGAATCGCGCCGTGCCATTGATATTCACGTATGTTTTAAACACAGGCTTGTGACGTTTACATAACTGGTATAATAATCGTTTTACATTTGAAAACACCATATTAAACGACACCCTGTAAACTAGATGCCAGACATAACCAAATCGTTACTATACTGCGGATTTTGATGCAATAGGCATTGAGCAACTGCAAAATTGCACAAAATATGCATAATACGATATAAAAGATATCCAAAGAATAGTACTTCTTACAGCACTTTTCCATCTTAATTACATTCTTCAATTACTTTCTGAAAAATTTAACCCTTTGCGCTCGACAATATTTTCCATTACAAACATTCACTATTTTCTGACGAAATATTCACAATATTTGCAACTTACACAAAGGAATATCTTGCATAAATTATGGTCCAGAATTGTTTCATTTCTATGTTTCCTGTGTTAATACCTTATTCAACATGTTATATTGAATTTTTCATTTTACAATTTTTCTGCATTCAATGAAACGGCGTCTGAGAGTCGCCCCTCGAGTGCAAAGGGTTAACTTTCCATAATGATTCACAGTCTAATCGTTACATCTAGCCGCGCTATCCCCTATTTTCATTTAAACCCCTGAATCTATCTAATGCAGGAACAGAGTACGGTTACGGTGAGCTGGCATTGTGCGTGGACCAGCAGCCCTGGTCCGCTTACTGCGGAGAGCCGAATTGCGGCCAACTGAATCCCATCAACGAGCACTCGTACCGAATCCTGGAGGGCTTGTACCGCGAGCTGCTGGACCTGACGGAGATCCGGGACATCGTGCACTTGGGCGGCGACGAGGTGAACCTGGATTGCTGGGCGCAGTACGGCAACATCACGGCGGCGATGCAGGCGCAGAACATGACCGACCATCACGCGATGTGGGCCGAGTTCGAGACCAAGATGTTGCAGAGGCTGGTCAAGGCGAACCGGGACGAGACACCGAAGGCGGTGATACTATGGAGCTCGCCGTTGACCAAGAGGCCTTACATCACCATGTACTTCGACCCCAAGATCCACGTGATACAGTCGTGGGGCGGCAGCAACTGGCCGGAAACGCCAGACCTCCTGGAGAACGGTTTCCGCGTGATCCTGTCGCACGTAGACGCCTGGTACCTGGACTGCGGGTTCGGCAAGTGGCGGGAGACAGGTGAGGCCGCGTGTGGCGAGTACCGCACCTGGCAAACTGTCTACAATCATCGACCGTGGAGGGACTATCCCCAACAGCACCTGAACCTGGTGCTCGGAGGGGAGGCGGCGATCTGGAGCGAGCAGACTGGCGACGCTTCCTTAGGACCTCGACTATGGCCTAGGGCGTCCGCCCTCGCTGAACGGTTGTGGTGAGTAGATTCCGTGATTCAATAGTTCTTTTCGGTATCGGTGGACCTGTTCATTATAAGGCAGCAGATATATTTTTTTAACACTGAACGTATTGACATTTTGTGTACTTCTGCTACAATCGGAGTTAACTGATCGCCACGGTGGTTACTGATCACCGGAGCTTCCAAATTTTTGAAGAACAATTGTATTAAAAAGATTGATGTTAAATAAAGATATTTAATAACATAAGTAGCTAGATAATAGTGTAATGTGACTACTGCGATACCAAATCATTAACACTAGAACTACTGAGTACTCAAACTGACTTTTGAAAATTTCTTCGTGAGAGCCACAAGTGTGTAGTTATTAAGCTTTCAATTGGTTTATATATCAATTTAGGTATTACTAAATCAGTTTCCGTAGTAATTTCTCAAACAAGTATCTGTGCCTTGTCAATGATTATAAAAGAAGAAATCGGGAATGGGTAATTTTGGCCCATCTGGTAGTTCTAGTGTTAATAATTATTTTCAATGCCATTTGCCTTTGTTATTAAAGAATAAGTGTTACTATACAAAATACTAGAAATTCTCGTGGCAGTCAACGTTTTAAACAAGTTAGACGATAAATTGTCCTTAGTGGGAACAAACACAAAGGGAAAGACGGGAATTTGAAAGCTTTTGATTTAACCGAACGCAGCACATTTACTGTTGAATACAAATCGGATAGAACAGTTTAGTAGCAAAACTGGGAATTAAAGTCTAAGTGAAAGAGTCAAGTAAAGATAGGTGTTTTCCTATCTGATCAGTGCTAACAGTTACGTTTTCTCCAAACTCAGGAGCGACCTGCCAACGAACGGCTACTCAACGGACGAAAGCGTGTACACCAGACTGGCAGCCCATGTGGAGCTGCTGACCAGTCGGGGATTGAAAACGGAAGCGATGTGGCCCCAATGGTGCTCCCAGAACCCGGGGAAATGTCTCTGACCGTTCGTCAGTCCGTGTCTGATCGCCAGGTTCAGTTGTTACCGTACGCGTGGCTGCGATGACGGTCGCGTCCACGGGAAACGTCACAAGAAACGGTTCTTGTCGTCCCCGGGTCCGAGTCCAACAGATTTAGCTACCCAGTTTAGGGAACACCGCGACGACCTCTATGAAGGTCCCTATGAAGGGAGCTGGAGCACAGACGCGTGGTTTACGACGCGACTCTCCGGACCATCGGTAGTTGTCCGATAAAGATATCTATCGGCGACTCCAGCCGAAGGCGTAATCCGTTCGTGATTTGATCGTTGAACGGAATGAGTATGTTGCTGCGTCGAGCGTTAGTTGCGCGAGAAACCTGTGAGACGAGCTAGGGGCGCGAAATAGCGACGGGTACCTTTGTAAAAGCGTGTCCGGGTGATAGAAGAGAGCACCGACTATCAAACAGACTGATTTCCTCGATACTGGGAAGTTAAAACGATGTCTAGATATCATTAGAGGATCAACCTAAACCCTCCGGAGGCAGACGTCTTCGACGACCGACGAACGGCGACGCCTAGATCCGCTCGGTCTCTCGATCGTCGATTTGTCTAGATATATTTTCGAACAAGCTTGTCCTTGAACCTAATCAAAATAAACGAGTTAGGCGTTAGAAGCCGAGAACTTGGACGAGGAACTCGATGGAGCCGGGTCGAAGCGGAGCCAGGCACTGCCGGCGCAAGGGTTGAACGACGGGAGCAAGGGAAGGAACTCGTCGAGCGTTTCTCTGTTCCGCCGAGAATGATGAAGGCACAATTCGTTCTCTTCTTCTGCTATCTTTTTTTCTCATCTTCTTGCTAACGAAAAGCAAAACGAACAGGGAGTACTCGGATACTTCGACGGTGTGACGCTAACGATATGGAATTATCAACGTCAATTTGAGGGTTCCTCGCGGGACGCCTTGCCGTATAGCTCGATGCCATACTTTTCGTTCGAAGTGCCTTTCCGAATGTAATTTTTAGAGGTGTGCGAAAACTTGAAAGCTTCGGGCGCTCGATACATAGATCGTATACGGTATTGTTTGGCTCGGGCCGTGAAGAAATATCGAGAAACTGGACTATGTTTTAATACGAAAGTAGTACGAAGGCTAGAATCCGAATGTATCGAACACAGTATTTTATAAACACTTCCAATTCGTCGTATCCAACGAAGTTCGTCTATGAAACATAGTTCGGATTCGCAGAGTTCGGTATTGTCGAGCCGACTCGAACAATTCTGGAACCGATTCGTCGGGCACCGACACATCTCTAGTAATCTTTACCGGTGGCGCGCGCGCGCGCGCGCTAATTAGATGACACCGCCGTTCCTACGGTCTCGGGGGAATGGTCGCGCCGAGATCGCGTTCTCGTCCCTTGTATTTAGAAGAGGAAAATCTCGGACAACGTCCGACGTCCCCGCGTGGACCGTCTTAGCTAAGACCCGCCCTGAATCCCGGCAAAACGCGGCGGATCCGATTTAATGGCAGTCCTCAGCGAGGGCGACGAATTAAGTTTCAGATGTTTTATGTGAAATCGGTCTACATTTATCGAGGACTTTAAAGATTTTTAATGGACCTATTTATCGGAAACGGATTTTAGAAGTTCGATTTATTGGAGACGGGCCATTTTCGAAATTTGTTTGAAATCGATGGCCCGATCGTTGATATTATGATCATCGGATCGATGGTCGGTGATATTTGTTCGATATTTTTCGTGAGAGAAAGGGAGGACGATAATGGCGTCCGAAGGAAGCGGAAATCCATTGATGGCCCTAGAGGTTGTAGCAGGAGAAATAATGGGAAAGATATTCAAGGTGGCGACGTTAGCCAGGATACCCCACGCGAACAATGAACGATCGATACAGCGAAGGCATTCGAGAAGAAATCTCTCCCGAACCTCGTTCACGGGAATACCGATTTGTCGTGACGAGAAAGTGGTCGCTGTGACGAGAGAATGACGGATGTCCGCGTAGACTTCTCTTTGCACTGCCAAATCTGTGCCCTAGAGTTCACCGGAGGAAAGATGACAATGTTGTTAGAGAGTTCACGATTGATGTATTAGTCTTTGGTAGTCTGTGTCCCAGGAAGACTGGAACAACGATGGACATTCGTTACCAAAGAGTGCTGAGATCGTAATCAGAAGGTGACGAAGAAACTTGACGCGACAATTTCGCTCTCCTTTGTACTCATAGTTGTTGCGAAACCCAGTTAGAATGTTAATAGGAACAAATTCCGAGAGCGATTGTCGCGGAACAGCATAATCGAGGATCGATTGTCCATTTTGTAATAGGCCGTAGAACGAAACGCTGTGACGCCCGGATTACCGCGACAACGTTGACCCGGCTATGCGAGAACGGGGACATTCGTGCCGTTTCTTCAACTGAATCAATTGTTACTACGAAAATGCTTCTTTTTCACAAATAATATTGATTTAAAGCGGTTTACTCCATAACACGAGAATATTAATTGATTCATTTCTAGCTGAAATATAATATTATAATATTTATAATGTAATGAATATTAAGCGAACAAGCCAGAAAATGAGAAACAGTGGAAGAAAAGCGAGCACGTCGGACGAGTTGATTCGTCCTCCCCGGTTAAAGGGGTTAAACGTTGCGTTAATCCGTGGCTACGTCGAATTTCGTCTCAGGATCGAGAGCGTGGACGCGAGTAACGATTACACGGCCTACCACGACCGATAGATTTGTAAATACGCGATCACTTTGGACGTACGGGAGCAGTGGGCGACCCAACGATTACATAATTGTAGCTAATTAACGAAAAACAGAGGGAGCCGGCGGGATGACGAAACGTCTGTACTTACTGACACTTACCGACATCGATGGCTGTAACGAATCAAGTGATTTTTGAGCACGACCCCTACTGGATGCGGATGCGTACAGTCTGTCCAACGAGGCATCTATAAATAATTTATTAGTGTCATTGTTCGATAAATTATTTATACATTAATTCATATAAATACATAAATGTAAACAAAACATTTACGGACTAAACGATTGATCGTCAGACACCATTATTTCCGTCACGCCTGACACAGTTTCTAATAAACCACATACGGTTGTCATTTTCCATATCTATAACTGTCCATTTTGCAACCATGTTCATAGCCGTGTAATCATCTTTTAACGTTCGTTTCGTTCCATACTGTGTTTACAGTCTCCCGATCGCAAATGTTAAAACTTGTAAAGCATACAATACGTTCTAAATGAGAATAGCAATAAGTCCATAGCAGTGATCCTTTATGTTCTATAACTCGACTGTAAGAAAGATAAGAGAGAAAGGGAACAGAAGACAAAGCAGTGAAACGACACCGCTTCGTCAAGAGAAATAGGAGACCTTCATTGTTTGATAATTTAGCTGTCGCACATTCTTGTTTACATTTTCTATCCTCATCTATTGTTTCCGTTGGACAGACTATAAAACTATCCGCTGTGCTCGTTGAGGTTTCTACACATTATGATTCACATTGCTGATACATCGATGCCAGGTTTCATCAGACCTGCATAATTTTAGCTGTTCTCAGGTCGCTATCAGTATCAGCAACGCGCGTCACAATGTGTAGAAACCTTCGAACGTTCTTGCCCGGGCGTTTGTTGCGTTTTTTCGAATGAATTTTAGTCAGCCGTGTCGAAGCGCGTTTACAGGGGAATATAGTAACGCGTTAGGTGCAATTCGGAAGATTGGTGTGGAGTTCTCGCGGGGGTCACGGTGAGAGCTTTACCGCGTGCGGATGATTTCCCGGGTCGATCCACGACGAATACAATCTGTTGTAAAGTGTGGTTGGTGTAAGATTAACATAAAAGAAATTTTGAATACAACGTGCGTTGGAAATACCTTATTCCCTCCTCCCGCTCATTCACCTTATGAGTTTTTTTTTAATAACTTCGACATTAATAATTTATCAGGAAACAAGGAAACATTTTCAATTCATCAATGTCCAACTTTATTTTAGAATATAATTAATAATCGAAAAATAGTATTTAATTTGAATCTAAGATAATCGAATGACATTCACTTTTTCTAACTACGCGAGGGGTTAACACTAGAACTGTCAGTGAAACTGACTTTTTAAAATTCTGTTATTTAAGCTATAATGGGTCGTTTTGAATCGTGTAGTAATTCTAGTGCTCTTATTTTTGGATTTACATTCGAATGTAAATGTAAATATTCATCCACCATTATTCGCCGATTACTCGGTTAAATCGCAAATGATACGGATCAATCGACAAATAAATTAACATTCGCCTGTAGTCGTTTATTTTATTCCGTATTAATACTGAGAATGAAGTGGAATTGGATGTGATCGATTATTTCTCTATAGCAGTTCTATCAATATTGATGTACTCAGCGAAACACTTTGGCCATCAAGGTTTTGATGGATGGTCCACGCGTTGACCAAACGATTTACTTTATTGCATTTTTCATCCGCAACTGGCCGGTGTTTCATCATTCTGTACTAACATACTTCGCTGATCACCGAGGTACTACTGAATCACTGTACACAACTGCGACTGTACACAATCGCCAAAAATTACTCGGAAACGATCAAACGAACCGCCGTACGAGAGAGAACAAACCTCCGAAAACCGCAAAGACTTTTATCGTTTCAAGCTCCGTTGGCACTCCGGTTTCGAATCATTCTGCTTTTACACAAAGCATAAATGTTTCGTTTGTTTACAGAAATTCTTCTCTGCTGGTTTTCGAAAGAACCTCTTTTTCTCTCATTCAAGAGACTCGAAATAACTTCCATTCCAATGTTAACTGTCATTAAACACGGTTGAAGATGATCCCTGCCGGTTCGATACATTAACCACTTTCTCGAAAGCGGGAGTATTTTTAAATGGGCCTCGGCTAGCGTGCAGACATCGTCACACGACAAATTATTCATTCACCAAACAGAGCAGACTGAATATTTTTTTCCATAAAATATCTCTGTTTGGTAAAAATTGTATTTTGATGACCTATTTGCTGCAAGACTTAATTTCTTCCACCAATTTTTGAATTAGTTATTATATCCTTCAATAATTAAAAAAAATAAGAATGTTTAATCTGTTTAGAGAAACTATTAGTGAAGTTGATTTATTTTAGTAATATGCAAACCGAAATGTTAATTCCAATTATTAATTCTTTCAGTAAATGCATTCTTGTGGTTTCTACACAAGAATACAAAATATTCAATTTAACTATTAAGCAACTTTAGCACTAACACAAGAAGCTACGTTCGCAGAGTAAAAGCCAAGCTACCCTTGTCCGACTAATGGCTGACTCTTTCCACTTGGAGTTTACCTGTTCTTCCCCACCGTAATAGAAAGAAAACGGAGGGCGAGGCAAGATTGTAAACAGGCGGACTGCCGTGGTGAGTCCGCTCGTGGCTCACTTCGATCCCAGATTTCAAGTACACCGCGTCGTCTTCTCGCGCTACCAGGAATGTAACTTCGCTCCTTCCATCGAATCTCTGTTTCAAATTTCACGAAAACAGATTCATGATCATCGAGCCTCTCAAAGAAAGATGAACCATTGACACTGATTCGCGAACGGAAACGTTGAATTTCCATTTTCATAAAAATTCTCCACGACGTCGAGCGTTGCGAGGATCGCGATGACCAGTGTTCCAGCTGCGATGGACAAATTCATCAGTGACCAGAGGCTGAAGTGCGATCGGCTGTTGTCGGAGTGTAAGTCCATTAAATAATCCTGTGACTTTCATTGTCTCCTTTCGAATCGAAGAACTTTGGAATTATATGTTATATTCGATGAATTAAACGACAGAAATATAGCGAAGGAGAAGTTAACCATTTGCACTCGAGAGGTGACTCTCGTTCACCATTCGATTTGATATACCAGAGTTATAAAGTTTACATACAATATTAAACTCCGTATAATCGATAAACATGTGAAATATAGGAACAATAACTTTGTTTCTTAACTTATATATATTCTATCGTTCAGTTCGTCTTAAAGAATGTCTACTCAAAGACTTCCGAGTGCGAAGGGTTAATTTCGAAAATTCTTCTCTTAAAGATAAAAAGAGCAAAATCTCAAAAATGCTGTGTTATATTCAATGAGTTAAACAATAGGAATACAGGGAAAAATATAATAGTTAATTTAAAAAATTCTTCTCTTAAAGTAAAAGACAAAATGCGCGTCGAATGAAAGGAATGAATATTAAATTTTACATTTTTCGTCGTAAGGGAAAGAAGAATGGTTCTGAAATGATTCGACAATCTAATTAACGTCGTCTTCATTTAAATAGACAACGAGACATTGGTGAATAGCACGCAATATCGCCACTGTCCTCCGTTCTTCGACGGTTTCCTGTGTTGGCCGTCCACGAAGGTCTTGACGACCGCGGTTCTCTCTTGTCCTCCGGAAACTGCCCTCGATGAAGAATCAAGGACCACCTTGGAATCAAGCAATCGAACGATCGCCACCAAATTCTGCCCACCGAGCAGCCAGTGGTACAAAGATCCCGAGGGCAGCAACTACAGCCTTTGCGAATCCTCTGACGTGTTTACTCACCAATCGATCTTGAAGATCGCTGGTCGGAGATTCGGGATGACGAACTCGCACGATTATGAAAGCATCGAATCGTTTTTATTGGACGTAAGAATCAAATGTTGCCTCCGAAAATAATATAAATTATCAAAGACAATGATTCAGTTAAGAAATATCAATGAATTTATTTGAATGAGTTTGGTTTTTCATAGAAATGGCTACCGATCGTCAGGACCGTCTCGCAGATCGGATACGCGACCTCTTTCGCCATGCTCGTCGTCGCGATGATCGTCTTTTCCCTGTTGAGGTATTAGTAATTAAACTTCATCAATGCCTAGTATATTATTTCATTCATTTCAGTGTATTTCATATTCCATAATCACGAGTCAATCAAATATTCAATACGAAACAGACTTCGGGGTACGGAAATAAAACTCGCAGGAATGCTAGTCTATGAAAACTTGATCGTTAATCGTTTCAACTCTAATCAATGAGAATTCATGAAATATGCAATGTAAAATAAACTGGTTGATGCATTTGCATTCTTTCTGACTTCGAACTGGACGAGAGAGATATTCAGCGTCAAGCAGATTCCGCGCTGTAAAGTAAAATATCGTTGACGTTTCTAGGAAGCTCAGAAACCCGAGAAACAGACTGCACATGCACCTGTTCTCCTCGTTCATAATGAGGGCATTCATGGCTCTGATCAGGGACTGGATCTTCGTCGACGGTGTGGGTCTCGCTGTGGACGTCGTCTACGTCGACGGGAATAACGCGTTCATCAAGCAACGAAACGTAGGTCATGTGTGTCAGAGACGCTCTCCCAAACAAGAGAGAGCGAGGCCACGAATTGTCAATGACATAACGCGGAACCGGAATAATCAGTTCCAGATGTTGATATGCAAGGCGATCACTAGCACGTGGCAGTACTTTATCGTCGCCAATTACTCGTGGATATTGATGGAGGGATTGTACCTCCATAATCTGGTTGTCTTGGCGTTTTGCGCTGACAGCGCAGCTATCAATTTGTACATATTGATGGGCTGGGGTAAGATCGATTACGGGTCGATACACTGTCGGTAACATGAACTCCAGTACTGCCAGATGATTCAAAATAACCCGTTGCCGATACCTTCTTTCGCAATTGCTGAAAAGATATTAGATGCTTGTCTAAGGAATTTTTACTTCTTTCTTTAATTATTGTCTGATTGATTACTACAGATTGAATTATTACAGAAAAGATTGTAATTATAAATTTTCTTCAGGTTCTCAAACTCATTTCAAGTATTTAATACTTGTAAAGAATCAATAATTGCAAAATGAGCAAACTGGAACTTGTATTTTGACGTATACGTAGTTCTAGTACTGGGTAAACTGAACTCTAAATCAATCGAAATTTGAATAGGTGCATTCTTAGTATTTCTATAGAAAATTTAGAAAAGAACAGTCTGTTAATACCTTCTCGAAGTTATTGGTTTGTTCAGTGTAGAGTATCGATTTTGAACCCTTTGCTATCCTTTTTCCCGTGACAAAGGGTTGCCCGTGTTCGTGGTGATTCCGTGGATAATAATCCGAGCCACGATCGAGGACACGCTTTGCTGGACCACTCATGGCAATCCCTCTCTGTTCCTCCTCATCAGAATACCTATAATGATTTCGATCCTGGTGAGTATTTTTCAAATATCTTCAACCCCTATTTATCTATTTCTATACTTGATTTTCACTTACGCTTAAAAGATTATTCGGTAAAGTAGTTTGAACTCGAAGATTGTAAATAGAATTAGAAAATTTGACAATTAACCGTAAATTCCTGTCAGTTCAACTTTCTGCTGTTCATCAACATTGTGCGCGTGTTGTTCATCAAGTTCAAAACCTCGGTGCACCTGCAACGTAAAAAGATGCAATATAGGTGAGCTTCTTGGACACGTTGATTCTTTATTAGTTGTTATTGTTCTTATCGCGCCAGTCACCATTATTTTACGAGGCTGAGTCGAAACTGAATTTTTTTTTATACAGTAGGTGGGCTAAATCCACGCTAGTCCTTGTGCCACTTTTCGGTGCCCACTACACTCTGTTCCTAGGCTTCTCTTACCACAAGGACCATCGCGTGGAATTGGTCTGGTTGTTCTGCGATCAATTCTTCGCCTCTTTTCAGGTATTTTGGCTTGCCTTGGACCGTCCCGTATCTTAGATTGAAAAGTTAAAGTAACAGAAAGTTCCTAATGTCGAACAATTCGATTCCAAATAGTTTTAAGTTTCGAATCTCAAATCTGACAATTTCAAACAGTTTGAAAATTCGAGAACACGTTCGCTGCCAGTGTCACATATTTGTGACGGCCGCAATTCTGTATTTTCTATAAAGAAAATGAAATTAATCCTATAGATATACTTAATTAAAGTTATAAGCTACGAAATTACATTTAGAGACTCAATGACTCGTTTTAGCTTCGTTCGTTTCAATAGTTTCTTTACAAGATTTATTGAATCGAAGAAAGTATTATAATTGAGAGGATCGCCGCTGAAACAAACGCTGGTAGCGAACGCGTTAGTCAAGGCATTAACGAAGAGGTTGACGAACGTTCGTGATCTTCAGGGTACCTTCGTTGCTTTGCTCTACTGTCTGTTGAACGCGGAAGTACGTTCCGAGATTAAATTGGCCTGGAGAGCCAGATGGTCCAAGAATGCTATTTGCAATTCCCTGTGCAAGGAGTCAAGAAAGAAACAGCTGAAACGGAAAAGCAAACAGGATTACGAGCAACCATCCCTCAGCGGAACCACCATGAGAAATCTGTTCGTGTTGCAAGTAGAGGCAGCATCGACCGAATTCACACCGAACGTGTTAGTGGTGGAGACTGGATAGGTCATTTAGGGATTAATTCATAAATGAATATCTTTCTGTATTTTGTGTTAAGCAGGATGTTTTGTATTCTTCTAATTAGGGCTTGTTAATTACTGCTATTTCAGACTAGTTCCCAGAAACCTTCAATTTCAAAGTATCTCTAAGTAGATAATATGTTTCACTTATTTATTTCACTTATTGAGTGGAAATCGCAGAATTTGTGTGCATTTATGTATTCATAAATTGAGAGGTTCGCGGGCGTGGTTTACGTTCCTATTCTGTAAGTTTATATTATAAAATATTTAGTCGTATATATAATTCATTGTTCGGTAATAGACAAACATGAAATACATCTCATGTAACTTTTACTCGTTTTACTCATCTATCTTGTTCGTTCAGGGAACGTATGTTCCCTGTAGTTCAAGTTACGAATAAAATTAGTTTAGATAAACTTAAGTAGAAAAAACGAAAAAGTTGCTATGAAATTAAATGAATGAAATCCCTTAAATACTATTATCGTCATCGTTGATAGTTTTATATACATGCATAATTCTTCAAGAATAACAACACTGTAAAATTTAGCTTCTTTGAACATGCATTTTTTATATGCAGTTTTATTTTAGTTGACTAGCTGACCGTTTTATTCAAGTAGAGTTCACTAGTACAACAGAACATTTATAACAGTGTCGGTATTTTAGATTCGTAGCAAAAGTTATATTTCATAGGATATCTGTAAGTAATTTTCACATAATACCAATACAAGGTAAAACAGAGAACAGTGATATCATTAACTGAATGCTCATTATAGTTTGTGAAACTGCCGCATTCTCACATGGCGTTACTTTCGCTTTAATTGTCATTGCTCCGATTGGTCGCTGCGTCGCACAATAAAGTCGTAAGATTTCCTTTAGAAATTCGTATTTTTATGGAATAATTAAAGAAGAAAGTAATTAGAAATCGATATATTTTTTGTATTCAGAATTTCATCTGGTTCACGATTGATTACTGTTTTGTTTGTGAAACAGACTGATATATACATATACGCATACGTGCAATCATAAAAAGGTAGATGTCGCTGCTGTCGCTTGAACTAATAAGACGTGAATCAATTGAGTTTCGCACACACACAAACTTAAACATATTTCTACTTCAAACAATAAAAGAAATATATAGAAAACAAGAAGAATCATACAGGAAGATCGATAAAAGTATAGTGCGCATAAAATAGGAGAATATTTCGTCACATTGATTCCTACACTTCTTCAAGTTTTCTGATTGGTAAATAGAATGCACCGATGACACGTAATACCAATCAGATGTTGGAAGAGTGCAGTGTCTTCTGGTCAGCTGAGGTGAGATGAAGAAGTATTTGAATTGTCAAGATACATGTATCGCGGTGTAAAGGCATAGTCGTATATCATTTGTGAAAATCACACATTAAGTAAAAATGTAACGATCAAATAATATCACGATCGACGAAAGTACCAAAGCTAACCTAACAGCGTTTATTACACTACGTGCATTCTGCGGGCAAGCCAGTGTTGATTTATTAAAATCTATTTATACACAAGGAAATGTATCGAATTTCTGGTTACACGATAATCTTGATACAGAATTTAGTAACATATTCATGCACGAGGAATATCATGCAATAGATAAACCAACAACAGAGGGTTCCAGGTATTGATTTAGTACTTCCATTTTTCTTCTTTCATAGAGTAAAACATAATTGCCGGAGTATCGATTCATTTTCGTGTGTCTGAAATCAAACGAAGTACATCTTACTTTCCGAATGTAAATTTCGCACATTTCATTAACCTCAGGATCATCGTGTCGCAACTGTCATTAGAATATTCACCCGGTTAAGCGAACATCACCTACACCGCATCATCGTTACCAAGAACGCAAAACGCGCGCAAAGCCGGTTTAAATTTGGCGGTATTTTCAGTTAGTTTCGCAAGCAGGTCGTAAGATGGCGGCGCGTTAGACGAAGAACGCGCCATCCAACTTGCCATACGATCGTTCGCTTGGCAAGGGGCAGGGCGGGGTGTTGCTGACGTCACTTTCGGCAATGTCCGCCGACACTCGAGTGGCCCGATCTCGCCCGAACGGGTCAATGTCTGAGGAGGCTTCGAAAAATTCGTAGCTGGTGTGGTGTTCCCGTGCACGGCGAGGAATAGAAGTCGTCGTTGACCGTCGAGGATTAATCTCGTGACGAGAACTTGAGCCCGCGCCTGAACCCGTCGGCCGGTGTTAGGTACGAGGCGTCGTTTTGATCGCATAGTGATTTTACGGTGGTCGGTAGCAGAAGCGAGGAACGACGGCGACGACGATCTCCCCTCGAGCAACGACGACACGGACGGCTGCGACGAGGAGGACGGACGTCCACGTCGGCGTCTCTACGGGGCCCCGGATCGTTTCCTCTGCGCGACATAGCGGCCATCGCGGCAAAATGTTGTGCACAAGCCTGGCAAGTCGACAACGTCGGGCGTGAGGAGTGTGCGAGAAGCACGAGAAAGAGTGACGAGCGGTGACCGAACGGTTCGAAGCAACACGAACAGAGATAGAGCGAGCGAGAAAGAGCGGTAGTGGTGGAGGTGAGGCGGTAGCGCTTCCCCCGCACCCTCCGTCGGAGCACGGCCGCGAGAGTGAGAGAAGATTACACCGTCGAGAAAGGGGGGGAGAGAAGGGAGGAAAGAAGGAAAGAAAGGACAGAGACAGCGAGAGACCGACCGACTGCGCCGTTAGGCCGAAAAAGAGAAACGGAACGGTAGAAGAGAACACGGTGAAAACGGAGCGCGAGTGGTGGTTGGTCGGTGCGGCTGGAGGAGTAACAACGGTGCAGCAACGACACGACCGTCGTTGCCGGAGGCGTTGTCGGGGAAACGAAAATTCATCGTTGCCGTCGTACCGTGGATGCAACGGCGAGGTACTTAGGTCGGCGAACGCCGAAGAAATTCGACCCGTCAGAGCCAGACCGTCGCGTAGTCGCGCTATATAGGAAGGCTACCAGTGCGGCGGTGTGCCTCCACTGTCGCGAGCGTGTACGAACCGTTCTGAAAACGTCGACCCCCGCCTCCCCTCGCGGCGTACCTCTCGACAACGTTCCGCGCCCTCGTCCAGGTTATTAGGTAGTTAGAGGCGTGCTTCTCGATCCGTGATACTCCCTGACAGCACCAGCGGCGGTAGCGGCGGTGACGACGACAGCGGCCAATACGGGAAGATCCTCGTAAATTGTGTCAATTCGCCGCGTAGTTGGACGCCACCGGCGCGGTTACTCTACACCGCCGGTGGGCATCGTTTCGACTGCACTACGAAGAAAGGAAGAAAGGATTCGTGCGAGACTCCGTTCGGACGGCAAACCTTGTCGCGCGAACGTGCTTTGGTGCGAACGGTGTGTATATAACCCCGGTGTGTGCGCGCTGTTCCATCGCGACAGCGATACAGTTGATCGCGAGAGTCGCTACCATCGCTAGCGACCACTATCGTTGACGGGTACGTTCCTCGTATATACCTATCACCACGGAAGTGTCTGTCGGTAGTGCGAAAGAAATTTTTCCACGTCGAAACGTTTTCCCTTCCGTTCCATTCCGTTCCGTTCCGTTCTCGCGTACACGTCGATCATTATCCACCGTCATCCTCCTTATCCACGGTTCTCCCTAGTTTCTTCTCTTTCTCGATCTTGCGCGCGCTTTGCTCGCTCGTTGCTCTCTTCCCTCCCTTCTATCCCTCCCGCCCTTCCTCCTCTATTTCTTCCTCTATCGTTTGCTCACACCGATTCTCCTCCTCTGTCTCTCTTTCACGCATACACACATACACATATTATATATACGTACACACACGTTCTCTCGCTCTGTCCCTCTAACCCTCCGTTTCTCTCTTTCTGACCGCGAGTGTGTGCAGTAGTCCCATCTCGCTCTCTTTCTCTCCCTTCATCCGTCGATCGAGAACAAACCGTGCGGTAACATAGAAGAACCAAACGGTGTGACCATTGTATGCGTGCGTGCGAAGTGATTATCGTTCGTCGTACTGTCATTGATGTCCGAAGTGTTGTCGAAACCGACGAGGACGACGACGACGAGGAGGGCGAGTTTGACGAGTTCGACGCGTTCCTGTCTCTCTTCACGTGAGGCGTTTACGAAGAGGAGGAGGAGGAAGTGGCACGGCCAGCCGAGGCGGCGGCCAGCGGAACCAGAGGCTGCATACTCCAGACCTCGGTGTCAGGTGGAGGTGGAGGAGCCAGTGAAGAAGATTTTAGGATGAGCGGCCGACCGAGGACCACCTCCTTCGCCGAGGGCAACAAGCTGCCCGCGAATCCGCCCCTGGGTGGCATGAAGATCAGCAGTGAGTACCGTAGGACGTGCCTTAACCTCTAACCGCAGCTTTTACTCGGGACTCCTCGGGCTTCTCCCCTCCTCCAATATGCCCTCTTCCTCGAACCGCTCTGCCGCTATCGATAACGTTATCGATAAATATCGAAATGCCCTCGATAATTCGATACATCGATAATATCGTTCGACTATCGACGGACCTGCAAATTGAATTTCCCTTCACTGGTGCGACGAGTGTTTCTTATTTCAACATTTACTTACCATTAGAACTACCGAGCACTGGAATTGACTTTTTTAAACTGCTGTATAGAAACTTGAAGAGTGCTATTGAGACTTGACTCATGATTCAATTTGCATACTACCAAATCAATTTCTTTAAACTCCCAGAGAAGCATCTATTCTAAAAATCACGAAAAGAAATCTATAATAGGTAATTTTTTGTTCAGTAGTTCTAGCGTCGAAGAAAACTGGTCCAATGACTTCTTCCAGTGGAAACGTATTAACAACCAGTAGAAAGTATTATTACAGAAACAGCGGGGAAGATTCGAAACGAAATTCCGTCGGTTTCGACGGCAACCGCCGATGCTGCAACTTGATTAGACTCGCGCTCGAAATTCTAACCATCAACTCTCTTCACGCGCTTCTACCGACGTCGCAACACAGATGGGGCTACGAATTGTTTTCCCTCTTCCCTACTGCCGTTTTCTAAAGCATCGTGCAACGTCTTCCTTCGAACAGCGTCCGAAAGTGCTCCGTATTTCTCCTTGAACAAACAAAAATCAAGCGATAAATCTATTACGCGTCAATTTCCAGGCAGCTCGCGCATTCTAGCCGTCACAATAACCGAACGATATTATCGTTGTATCAGCTATCAATAAGTCGTCGTCTTCTGTATATTCCTAAGTAGCATCTCTAGCCTTAACCTCTAGTCACAGCTTTTACTCGGGACTCTCGCCCTACTCCCTTCCTGTTTCTCCTCGGCACCCGCCCCTCCCCTGTCGTCCGTTCGCTGGTCGGTTCTCCCTCCGTATCGTCTCGCTCTCGCCACCGAGCGTAGCCCGCCCCACCACTCGCGGCGATCTATTCCCCTACCGCGGCGGTCCTTCTCTCGCCGTCCTCGGTCGTTCGCTCGCTCGCTCGCTCGGCCTGTCCGTCTCCGAATGCAGAGCTGTGCGTCTGCGTGCGAGTGCCTGGGTTACTCTTGGGAAGGCGATGGAGCGGCTGCCCGAGGAAGAGGAGGAGGGTAGGGGGGAAAACGATTATTTCTTTTTCAACCGATGCCCGCCGCTTTGGACCTCCACCATCATCCCGTCATCCGCGATTCTCTCGGTTTTAGCGGCTTTTTCGGTACGGCCGAATTCGATGTTTGCGCGGATACGCGTGTCGCCGTTGTCGTCGCGTACGCCGCGGTTCTAGTGCCGGACGACGAAGCATCGTTCCCCACGAACTCAGTGAAAACTCGACGCCGCTCGCCACCGACCGGAA